GAGCGGTGCTAATGGTGTTCTCAACCCTAATTAAACGTACGTTGCATTCCCTTCCCAGTGCTAACCATCGTCACATTATGAAAGTGGTTCGGTGGGGACGAAATTATTCGTGTTTTGATCTACTCGATGAAGTGCTAAGGGTTTGAGAGACATATCCAATGGTTGACTGACAAATCGCCAAGATCCAAATCTGGCTAGATCATTGAGTTGAGTGTACGACATATTGATTTAGTAAGTTGTTAAGGTGCAGATGTGCCAATTGACAGACCATAGCGTTGTCGGTCAAACGCACAGACGTTTAAGGAGAGATGCCAATGAAAAAGTAACAGGGTGTTTGATACGCAAGCTGTGATGATGTGAGATTAGAATGCAGAAATTCAAACAGAGCATTTTTGGCAATCAGCCCTCTTTGTCTGAGGAATGAATTAGCCGAATAAAGAAACAGATGCATTCGAAATCCTTTCTCAGATGTAAATTTCCGCTATTCTATAGCAAACTATTACAATGCGAGTTTGGACGAGTGAGAGTGAGAGTGAGAAGTCGCCAGTGTTATAGCTCTTCACGGAAATCATTCGATCGCCCTCAATCTGCCCATGTCTTTCTCAAAATAATGATGGACGGAGTGAACATCATTTGGTGACCATTGCACTCACGAACACTATATTCAAACTGAAAGATATCCTCTCCGAGTGAGCCACCTAGTGGATGCCAGAAGCAATTTACATCCAGAGGCAAACCTAGCGCATCACGGTTCTTCACATTCATTGTGAACGAGTTCATTTGTTTCCAGACAACTAATATGATCAGGATCCGTCGCAAATTGGATTCTCAATGGACGTTTTGAACGCGTTTCATTTCGTTTACGAATGCGTGTGCCTGAGTGTGCACCGACATAGCAAGAGACAAAAAAGAGTGCGTGAATGAGTGAAAACGTGGGAATATATCGTATACAAACATGGAAGAAGCATACAATAAAACCAAACAGATTGCACTATAAGGCAGGATTGCACATGAGACACATCAGAACAAAGGCAAAGTGAATGCACGTAGAGAAACCGACGTTTGTGCAACCGTCCGTATCTCGCGCAACAGATTATCATTCCCATAGAAACATGTGATTGCTTACGTACGATACACTCATTCAAATGAGTGTCGATCAATGTACCTCACCTTCTGTTACGGTTGCCGTGAATGTGTTCGTGCCGGCTTGGTTTGCCGAGGATACCAATTTCACTTTGATCACGTTCGACGTCGATTCTGGTGGTTGTTCGGGAACACTTGTGCCACATTTCTTGTATGTTTGTTCGGTGAACTGACCATCAAAACTGACTTGCACATAATCATCCGTGCATTGATCACTTGTTCCCACCTAGATTCGCAATCAGAAATAGATCAACAAATGACCCATGAGACACAGGTGAAAATATCGGACTAGGTAAATGATATTGGATTGCAGGATATATTACAATGTTTAGGCAGTGAGATTGAGAGTGAAGTGATCGAATCATGGAATAACTCACGGTGAAAGCGGTGAAATCCAGTTTGTATTTCTTCCCCTCTGCACCCGTTAGGGTGTAGTCACAAGTGCCAGCGCCGGACAACGCTTTTTCCGGCACCTTCCACGGTGCACTCAACGTTGTCAAATCCACCGCCGTTTGGCCACAGTTTGGGTCCTGGGCGGATGCTGTGTGAACTGTTTAATGTGTAATTGGAAAAAGAAGATCAATGGACATTTTGTGGTTGTAATATTTTTAATCAGTTTTGCATATCTTTGTTCGCAAAATAATGCGCATTTATAGGGTTGGTGTTCTTGGGGATCGGACTCATTCCGCTAGACAACTTTTAACTTGAAGCTTAGTTTCTTGTACCTCTTCGATTCGGATTTATTTTTTGCAGTTGAGCGAGAGGTCAACTTTCAAATGATTTTCTTTTTAATTTGTATTTTCCATTGTTGCTGGTGTGGGATGACGTGGAACAGCACGCAGCGGAAATATTGTGTAGCTCGTCATTGATTATTGACACCAATTTTGCAAACGTGTAGAAAATAATCACTAAGATGCGTTCTTAATCCATCCATCTTATTGTTTATCGTTTATAAAAAAACAGGATGTAGCATCGAATTCGCCATCCCGTACCTAACAGGTTGCCACATCTGTTTCTCAGTAATTAGGCAACACTTTATGTTTTCCAAAATTGCCTTGACTTTGATATCCTGTCAATTTTTCATTTTTGTTAAGCTCACAATTCAACCGAACTTTGTATCTGCCGTATGTTCATCGTGTTTTGGGAATCGGCGATTTTTGTTCAAATTGAAACTTCATTTCCTTCACAACCAGTTGTTACGATCATTCCGGTAATCATTTTAATGCTCATGCTCACCGTGTTTTCGGTGCTTCAAGGACAGGCCAAGTGCTGCACGGTTTGTGGTGAAACAGAAACACTTTTACGCACGAAATTTCGATTGTGTTTTCTTAAAGTTATATTATGGTTTACAACTTTCACCAAATCTTGGCAAGTGTTCGCAATTACAAATTACATTGATTACACTTTCGTGAATCCGTAAACATACCTGCTATCTGCAATATCAACACGGCCAAGATGGTGTTTCTATGCATTTTCTGACTGCACTTTTGCCGACAATTTGATCTCAGAGTTGTATTTTTATATTCAACCGTGCGCTATGGTTCCAACTGATTGGCTGATACAAATAAACTCAGGTGCTGATGTGTTTGTGTCTGCTTCTCTGCGATTGGCCCGCATACTCTGTTCATCCATAATAGATTGTTTTCGCAGCAAAAATAATCGAGTTATCAATCTGAACATGTGATGCTATGCTACGCTAAATCGAAGCCCTATAATCGATGCAAACGTCTGGTAAAACCGCAGTCAATAAAATACATTGTGACGTCCATTCTACTCTCTTTTTGTACCGAGCAAACGTACTTCGGAGTGCCTGGTCACTTTTCTTAACCTGGCGAGTTGTTCTGGAGATTGCTGTCTTACATGAAGCTAAGTACCTGGACTTCGAGTAAAGAGGCGATGTTTTGTTTTGCTAAAATGGTGAGAGAAAACTTTACCATAGGTTAATCAGGCATCCCAGATCGGAGGGGACGGTGCACTACAAGGAGTTAATTAGGAAGGTTGACAAAAAACAAATCCAGACATGCAACAAACCTGATGAGAAAGCTGACATTATTATGAAGGCTTATCCAGATAACCGTATCTGCATACTTCAGGTGGCGTCAGGGTCTTCGGTGGGCCAAACAAGTCGTTCGAAACCGAGATACATGTTCCTCATGGGTACCCTATTTCCCTATTTGTTTACTTCATCGTAGACGGGAAAATGGAAAGCGCACGAAATGGTCTCCGAAATGTTTGTATTAAATGAGCAGCTGAATAAAAGCTGTGCAAATTAGAGTAGGCAGAAAAATTGTTTATCTGTTCGAATGTATAGAGTGTGTGAAGCGCGCTTAACAGACTTTTAAATTGCTGAACGTTATTTTGTATTATTTGAATTTGGGACCTTCAGAGTGCAAATTATTGGGTCGTCCAATCCGGCTTTGATGCTTTATGATGAAGAATTAGTTACGGTGGATTGCTTCTCTTACCGAGATTGTTGTGTGACAAATGGTAGTAGCATAGTGAAAGAAGTGAGCCGTCGCATTTCTATGGCTGGATTAGCCTACGTAGGTTTGAAAGGCCTTTGGTACTGACGTGTTATTTCATTGAATCTGAAAATTGGTGTATACTGCGCCAGTGTGCGGTTCTCCTTTGCGGTTGCGAGACCCTTAGTTTGCACGTGGAATATATCAATCGTCTAGAACTCTCCTATTCTGATGCCTATTCAGTTTAAACGGGTTGGATGAAGCGAGTATGTAAACATTTCTGTGATGAGTCGTCGTATATTTGGTAATGATTCGATTGAAAACTCGCTATCACGTAGAACTCAGAGGATTAGGGTTTGCTGACTAGAGTACGTATTGCGGATGCTCAGCGGTCGTCTACCTCATCGCGCTTCATTCGCACTTGCTGCACTACGTTGGAGAAAACCACATGGAGACTAGTAGGTTAAGTGGAGACGAGACAGGAAGAAATGCACAGAGGCAATGGTCAGAGTAGGTGTCTCTCGTCTTCCAGGTTGAAGTCCGAAATACTCCGTCACTGGTTGGTTTGAGACGCTGAAGGATATGGAAATTAACCGACTTCAGTGATGTCAGTATGTTTGATACGGCATGCATATTCGTTTTATACATTTTGTACTCTGTGTTGACCATAGAGGCTCACTTTATTTACCTCCCTTCAGTTAGGCCAAAATGTTTTTCATCATTGCTTCCTCACTCATACTGTGTACATAGCAAACTTGGAAGAGTTCAGCGGGGTTCATCTGTCTGCATGTCACTGTACTGTGATGATGATAATTATCATGATGTTGATGATCATGATCATGATCATGACTGTTTGTGGCCTGCAGTCGAATGATGTACCGATCATGTGATTGACCATTGCGGCCCGCCACCAAACGCACGTACGCGGGCGTACTCTCTTACAAGTTCGATCGGCCTCAGCAAATCATAGGTCAGTAGTGACCTGTCCGCATTGATTAGTTTGATTAATTCGTTGAATGTCCAAAGTGATGACATACTTCTTTTTGGTAGCACTTGCGCCAGTTTTGTGCCTCACTGTCTGCGTGCTTACGCACTGCTTGCTCATCAGCTTACGGACCGGCTACGTTTCCACTTACATACTGGAAATAGAATAATTACTTCAGTCGTTACTTGAATACGTATTGACTTATACGGGGTACAACAATGACGATGCCGCTTTTAATGCTATTCTTAAGACAAATGAAAGACGATTTCCATCTTTACCATATCTAGCATAGAAGACTATTACAGTAAGAACATCAATCAATGTAACTTACAAGATAGCAAAGCATTTATCGGAGTATGGCCGAGTATGAACATCTGACTCTTAAGCAGTAAGAAACCTTCATTCAATCTGCAATCGAGTGCAAATGACCTATCTGTAAACCGTTTGAAGTAAGGTGAATTCAAAATTGAAAATCGCTTATTGATCTGCTGGTGATAGGATCCTGGATCAGCTGGATGAAGTTCTGTACTTTAAATGGTTTCCATTGATACATTATGCTAATATATATCCGATGAAAACATGTGTGGTTAACGATAATAAAACCATAATAATCGTTGCTGAATTTTATCCGTATTACCTGGTTTGCGAAATATGTTGTTTGTACACTGGTCAGAAATACTTCAGGCCAATTCGAGCATGAGTCAATGAACACGGNTAGAAACCAGGCCGCGGAATTCCACACCTACCCGTTATCAAGGTGTGAATTTCTGTCAATGGATTTCAGTTCTTGTGCTTAGTGTTTACTATATGCACTTATGCCTCGGATTTCATCGCATTTGCGCAAACCTCCACATCGTCCAGAGAGTTGNTCTCTAATCTTGAGTTTCCTGTGTGAATGCAGTACCTTACAAAGCGGTAAGGAATGATGTTTGATGACCACGAATGAGAAAACTTCCTATTTGAACAGCTAAATCACGTGTGATAAAGCTGGCAATAAACCGGACGAATATTAAACAGCATCCACCAAACTAACGACGTGAATTAAGTAACGCATTTCCCTAATGAATCGGCTTACTGAACAATTACTAGGTCTGGAATTTTCATTCAACAGAACAATATAAAATACAGGTACAGAAAGCCTTTGTTTGAAATTAATTTATCTATACATATACATTATCCTCAAGATTGCTATATGATGAGTGATGGTTGGGACACGTGTTACGCGAGTCACCAAATAGATTGCCACGGCGAGTGATGTTTGCCGAGGCAGGTAGCGGTTGGAAAATGGTCAACGAAGACCTGGTTTGAGGGCCTGAAAATCCTGCCCAGGAGACTAGGACACATAGGCCCGATTAGACTCCCTGGCTGGGGACCTCAGCCTGATGGTCACCGATGGTTAGATATACTGAGTGATATGGCTGTCTGTCACAAACAGTGGCGGTCGTGCATCCACTTATTATTCCCCTACAATCATTGTATATGAGTTCCCCATCAACATTCTGCTCTTTTATTCAAATGGGGCACCAAAAGACAGCAACCAAAAACGGCGCACGAAAGTGCATGGTTAATGGTTTTAAAACTGAACTGAACTATTGGGATAAAACAAGAGTTGGAGTGCCCGATTATCCATCACAATAGTAGAACGTACTCCGAGGAAATACTTATGTAGCCTCGAAACTGTCAAAAATGTCGTTCATCCTGTCTGCGAATAACATCTCCCACAAAATTGAAAAATCTGATGACAACTCAGAAAAAGTCCTTTTTGTTCCAATACGGCACCAATACCACCTCGAGAGCATCTGACTTTAATCAATTTTGATGGTAAAGGACGCCAACAGTGGGCGTTCAGTAATGCTCTGCACCACTTCGTGATGTGTTCTTTCACAGTTCACGGTCTATTTTCATTCTTCAGCGGATTGTGCATCGAACAAGGTTTGGGCTCTAGTGTCGAATAGTTCTGAAGGCGTTGCATAATTGACCGGAGATACTTTTTGATCTTTCGGGGTCGCTACATTCAACAAAGGTTTGAATCGGTTGGAGTCCAGTCGGAATTCGTTGTAGCAGACAGGGAATTCGATGAACTCCAACTCCGTCCGTTCCAAATATAAACTTTGGTGTAAATATCGCTGAAGAAGCTTTTTTCAAATTCTTATCGTCATCTTATTTCGTTTCGCCATAAAAATTCACCTTGTTTTCGCACACTGTGACACCGCATAAAGCGAACAGAACGCTGATCATTATTGATTGGAAGATTCTAGATGATACATGTAGGCTAAACAGGAGAAACGTATAGTGGAAAAATAGTCATGGTTCGTTGATGCTTGTCCATTCCCGTGAATCTGGATCTACTGGAATTTGTATGCAGGCGTCTCGTAGATCACATTTTTGGAGAGAAATTGATAGCCGTGTTTATACGTCATGACGTCGTCCTTTTCCATTGTCTTAACTGCATATTTATGTAAACAATTACGGAGGGTGAGTCCGTAATCATTGCATATCCTCGGGTTCTGACATCAACTTTCACCGCCATAACACTCGGAGTTATCCACATGTGTGGCATTCCTCGGTAGATTACACCATTTTGCCCCATTCACTCTATCACCCTAAATCCGCTTTCCCGCTTTCCTTAAGGTAGGACGCGCTTTCTCAAAAGTTCTGGCCTATAATCAACCTCCAACAATAGAATTGCCATGGTATCCAATATCCGTTCACTTGTGTGTAAGGGTAATGAATACCGTAACGTCCTTATTGCTATCAATCCAACACCGGTGACCTTTCGAATTCGTACTTGTCTATAATACCATGGGAAATCTTCACATTGAAAAACTACGTTATCTTCTATACATACTTTATCAAATCAAATTATTAAGTATTAGAAGTAAAATTCCGTCATACGGCCGCAAATGTTGATTATCTCAAGAAAACCTATTTTTCTCTTGTGCTCATTGTGTGAAAATCACATCAATCAATTGAACGAAAGGGAATACTGCAAATATACATCGTGCAGCTTAGAGGATTACTCTTAAGTGAAAACTCCCTCAGCAGACCGACTGATTCAGTGGTCATTTCTATTGATTTCCGCTCATCTATGGAAAACATTGATGAAATAAGAAGCATGATGCGTGAAAGAGTGTGAAAAAGCGTTGGTATTACTATGATCCAATAATTTTGATTACATCTTGAAAGTGAGGATGGTGTTGTCATTATATGCTAGCAAACGTACACATTGAATTGGACACATCAGCTTCTGACATAGTAAAGTTTTCCGACTCTTTTTTCACACGGACTTAGTCCAATGCTTGTGTATTGCGCCTGTGCTTTCATCGTTTAAATATTTCTTTCTGAAGAACTCCAGGTTTGATTAGATTTGTGCACCTTCCCACTCGTTCGGAAGACAAACTTGACGGCATTTTGTAAATATCCCAGCAGTGTTATTGAAGATGTGACCCGTTATTAGCACGACTGATCACTATACAATTGTTTTGCATCTTAGATATGTGTTAAAAGTGTATCGCTGACAACAAGCACACGTAGCGTCCCGAACAATGAAAGGGATAAAATGTACCCTAGTAACCCAAATGGACACCACGGTGTTATTTGTCCAACAGAATTTTATGTTTTCTCCGATTCTAATAATTCTTACAGATGCGAAATTCTTACCAGCTATCGGAATTTATTTTTGGATCTATTTTTCCGACCTAGACATTCATCCCTTCTTTTTGAACTAGTATGTCATTTTGAGGAAAAGAGACGAATGGTAGGCGCAAGAACACTAAACGACTATTGATTCTCATCAAAGCCGAGATTCAGCACTTGAATCGGATGTATGTCGAGAGTATTCTGGGCAAATAGAGCTGTCGCGAGATGTGGTCGGCGGTAAACAATTCCGCGACACATGTGGGAGATCCTGTTCTAATGAAGCAAAACCAAATCGACAATTTTCCACGTACGTTTGCTCCAATTATCTATCGTCCGTTTTCAATTCCCCCAAATCACCAATTTCTTTTACTGAAGTTCTCAAAGTTTTGAAGCAACTTAAGTCCATCATGGTCAACAGACCGGACTCTTGAGCCCCATTTTATTGAAAACCTATGCCAAATACTTCGCAACACTAGTTGCCGATTTGTTGAACTGATCCATGTCCTCACGAACGTTCCCCGACTGCTAGAGGGGTGTCCAGATAAAATCGCTTCCCAAGAGATTTACCCGAAGAATCGACTGATTACTTGTATCTGAGCGTTGTTGAAAGCTTTTGAAGGAGCGTTGCTGAACAGAATGGTTACAATTTTATATTCATATTCATGTTCATGACCTTCTTTAGTTTGCTTAGAAACTCCTTTTCGATTGTCGACAACGTCGTGTACATCGTTCCTTCTGTGCCTTTAATTCTATGTAGGAGTACTGTAGCTGTTGAACTTAATTTTTTCATTACCTCAACGCCTTTGATTCGCTTCACCATCGAATTCTCATATATTCTCTTGCTCGCTTCTGCCAAGAATCCGGTATGTTTAACATTCTTGCAAATTACGTCTCTTGTATGACGTAATATACCATCATTCTCCTTTTCAGTTAATCTGGATTTCTATGCGTGAGCAAATAGCTGGTAATATTGTGATGTATGAAACGGACCTCCGTAAAAGTTTTTTTATACTTTTACTGCATTGATTACATAGTGCATGCAATTCGAATAAACTAAGAGTGCTATTCCATTTGGAGTTGCTCTATTTTGGGAGATCGTTGTTGCGCGAATTCTGGTACTACATTTTCTACTCCATTCACACTGCTACATTTGGGTTCTTTAGCAGGATATGCTGAATGATGAAATCGACTTCATTGGAATTCAAATATCTTTACTGCAATTCACGAGATAACGAGAATTATTTTGTACGTTTTGTGATTTGGTGGTTGGGTCGTCGGATACCTGGTGAGGAACAGAATTCCACGTTTTTTCTGAACTCTGTGGGGAAAGTGCGTATAATCTACACAAAAATTTGGAATTTATTTTTCCACTTGATTTTTACCGCACGAGGATTTCCAATCCCGCCTTATACAGGATGTAAAACCGATCAACTTTGAAGCCTAAGCAGAATTTCTTACAATAGGCCACAAGCCAAACCAGAGCATTCGTAAATCCATTTTGAAATTATAACACAAGCTACAAAATGTGATTGAAGCGACTTGCTGATTATATAGTTGAACGTTTGGCTTATTGCTAACATTAGCAACACCATTTTGCAAACGAGCTTTTGAAACTGTAAAATCTAACGCTCAATGAAGTACGGTCCCATTTTGAGCAATATCATGACGGTCCGCGAATGTGCCGATTCACTCAACAGTCCTTTTTAATCAATCCTATCCCATCATCTCTCGGAGT